ATGAGGATTATGTGAGATATAGGAGATATAGAGGGATTAATGGTATAGGGAGTTTTCTGAGGAGTGTTGGGTGTATAGTAATCAAGTACATAAAACCACACAAGGACATAAAACCCACAGACTACTACAAATATGTAGATGATATCAACGAGGGATAATGTTCCAACAATTTGGAAGGTTGTTCCGACAGGAGGAAAAGTTGTTCCAACACGGAGACTCTCAGATCCATTAAGTCTCTATATCCATGGTAATCAACCTTAAAAATAATCCGCATACTTCAATAAATCTATGTAGTCACCTTAATCCACCGATATCCTCTTTAATCCTTTAAAATCTCTTTATACCACTCCACAGTTATCCTTCTCGATCAGCCGATGTCACGCACATCTCCTGATATTCACTCAACCGGCCAATTTAGTGAGTTCACTCATAACGTCCGCACTCGACGGGCCATACTTAACGGGGACACGACTTGGGCACAGTGATCCATTTGCACAGTAAGACTTTTGCACAGAGGACAATTACACAGTGGACATTTGCACAGTAAAGTCTTATTTATTCGCAAAACGACCTACCCATTTATTCGCAAAACGCCTGTTTAGTCGCGAAACACTCCAAATAAACGCAAGGCTCATTCACCTATAGGTCATAACTTCGTTAAGAATCATCCAATCAAGATGATTTTGGTGTCAGCCGACTCAACTCAAAAAGCTCTTTCGAATGAGCTATAATTTGCATCTTCGAATTTTTTATCCCAAAAAACCGCTTGGTTTACTCTATTGTTTTTCGATTTTCGGGAGCCTATATCTCTGCGAGTTTTCGTCTCCCGCGAACAACTTTTCCAACAACGGGAAAAATTGCTTATAGAACAGGGAAAATTGTTTTTGTTTAAGAAAAACCATTTTATTATTAAAAAACTTATCAGAAAGTCTAACACAAATGCACTTAACCACAAATTACTGTGCAATTGTCCACTGTGCAGATGCCCAATGTGCAATTGTCTTACTGTGCAAATGGATCACTGTGCCCGTGTCGGAGCGCCATACTTAACTGATCCCAACCCCCACTTGGGAGCCAATAAAGAAAATTCACCTTTTTCAGCGCCGCAGGCGAAAATTTTTTGAAATTCAGAAGGCCAAGGATCAAAAATTCTCATTTTTTATAAAAAAAATACAAGAAAATTGGGAAAATCCTAGAACCGGATCAAATCCCAAATCCGGTACAAAAAATTTGCCGGATTCGGATCCGGATTTGGCAAGGGAGCCGGACCGGATCCGGCCGGATTTTTCCGGATTAATCCGGTCCGGTTTTAGTCCGGAAATTTCAAAAAAACCCGGATTTGGGATCCGGACTCCGGAAAAATCCGGCCGGATCCGGTCCGGTGCCGCGCACTACAGAAAATACATAACTTCACATCATTTCCATACAATTTTTAATCAGTTTCCTTCTTCTTATCACTCTTAATTACCATTTTAGCCGATTAAATACATTTAAGAGAACATCTGCCACCTTTTTTTAGTGACACCCAACTGTCTAAAGAAATTTAAATCTTTTGCTCAATTGCGCATAAATGACCTTGACAAACATTAAAAAGTATTAAAAATTAATAAAGACGCTATGCTCTTTAAATTTTATTGGGTTTTTATATAAAAAATTTTTTATTCGTCTAAAAAAGAGAATTTATTGAAAATATTTATAGAGAAAAAGGAAAAAAATTAAGCAAAAAATTTTTAAGTAAATTCAGCTAGGGTTAGTATTATAATCCATGGCGAATTTTCAAATAAATTTTTATTAAATTTTAAAGTTGGTCTCTGTTGCTTGCCTAGCATTAGGCCTCTATTTATTTGTAAATGCTCCAAGATCCATATCAGAACCAGCAGATGTATTACTAAATCCAGCAGTGCTTCTTGCTTCTATTGGCTTAATTTCGGGTTTTGTTTCAATTTTTGGAATGTTTGGTGCACTCAGGGATAATGTGTTTTTACTTAAATTGGTAAAGTAGTTAAATTTTTAGATACTTTTTGGATTGAGTAATTAATAGCTTGAAGTCTTTCAAGCATTGTTTGTCGATTAAAAACTAATTACAAAAATTATTTTCTAGTTTGCCTTATGTGTTTTCTTTGGTTATCTTTTGTTGGTTGTATCTACTTGTCTTTTATTTCTTTTGGTAAGATTTTTTATGATTGTGGCTATTTGACTCGGATTACTTAAATTTAAACTATCAATGGGCTTTCACCCATATACACAAAATTTATCTAAATTGAACTAAAGTAATACAAAATTTGCATGCTCCTTTAATTGCTAACTTTAACATAAATTGGCTTTAAAGACAAATTAAATTAAAATATTTAATATTAAGTAAAATTAATCGCCGCAATAAAATGATTTAAATTAAATATACTTACAATATTGTTTTATATTTTATGTACTTTGTTCATATCCTGCCCCCCACTCCTATTTGAGTCTCAGATTAATTTTCTTTTGCTTTACTGTCAATCATTTATTTTCCTTTTTTTTAATGCCAATCATTTTCTTCCCTCAAATATTATAAGTAAAAGGCGAGTTTTAAACTAATGATATTTGAGGGGTACAGCCAAAAGGACGCGGCCATAAAGGCGCAAATCCATAACTTGCTGGAATCATTCTGGCCCTTGTCATTTTTGTTATCAATCTCTTTAGCTCGATGAAAGGAATAGTTTAATATTAATTTTTGTAAGGTTCGAAAACCTTGAAGCAAGTTATGGCTTTGTGCCTTTGTGGCCGCGCGCCCTTTTGGGTGTCCTATATTTGAAGGAAAGAATGATTGGCATTAAAAAGGAAGGAAATAAATGATTGACAGAAAAGAAAAGGAAAATTAATCTGAGACTCAAATAGGAGTGGGGCAGGATATGAACAAAGTACCATATTTCGGTACACCTCAATTGAGTCCGCACGATTGAGTCCTCACGATTGAGTCCGCACGATTGAGTCCCCACGATTGAGTCCCGGCACAATTGAGTCCCCACGATTGAGTCCGCACGATTGAGTCCCCGTTGTATATACCTCAATTGAGTCCCCGTGGATTTAATTATATTAAAAAAGATTAAGAGGGATATTTGGGGATTTGGAGGGATTAATGTTAATATCAGGGGACTTGTATGCGACATCGAGGTATCAAGATGGATATTGGTGAATATCAAGGGATATAAGTAGATTTAAGCGGGGATATCGGTTGAATTAAGGCAGATATCAACAAATTCGGAGAGATTAAGATGGATATTGTGGGTTTGGGGATTAGGAGGGATATCGAGAGATTTTTTGAATGACAGCTCATTCGAAAGTAGTGAGTCGAATGACACGAAAATCAACATTGTTGAACAAGTTCTCGCCGAGATATGGGGCTCGAAATGGTGGATTTTTTGGTGGAATTCCATGGGGAATTTTTGTTGCGAAACATTCGAATAAACAAAAAATAGCTCATTCGAAAGGGATAGACGAGATGAGTTGAATAAGACCAAAATCAAGTTGATTGAATGATTCTGAACAAATTTTGACCAACAGAATCTTCGCTGGAAAAACTTTTTGTGCTGCTATGGAGGGTAGGGGAAACTATCTAAATTACGAACGTAAAAACTCCTTCCTAATTTCCGGACTCCGGCAGAATTTACCTGGATACGGGAGAAAATCAAAATGTGAAAAAAAAATAAAAAAATATTTTTTAAAAATTTTATCAAAAAAATTAAAAAAAACCAAAGTCTAGCTTCGATTAGTGTGCCAAAGAAGGGCCTTTCTTTCGTTATTTGTTCTCCTAAGTTCACCACCTTCGTTCCTTCAGAAACTGTGAACTTGAAAATCGCCAGTCAGAAACTGACGAAAATCAACTAAAAAATTTTAAAAATAAAAACGAAAAACAAAATAAAAATTCCAAACCTTTTCAAATTTCCCATCGTTGCAGCCGTGGGATGAAGTCCGACACGTGATGAGCAAAGTTAGACCAACCTGAAATATAAAATCTAAAATTAAAAAATAAAAATTAAACTTTTACCTACACAAGATTCTCGTCCTCCCTCTCGTCCTCATTGAGAAAATTCAGTGCTCGGATGGACTTGAGTGGATGCTCGGTCAACTAATTAACAAAATTAGTTGCAAACCCCAAAAGAAAAACAAAAAAATAAAAAAAAACAATAAAAAAATCTAGGAAAATAATGCGGGTACACAAACGTCCCCCTTTGGGTGGGTACACAACCGGCGGTACACAAACGGCCGGTACACAAGTGTCCCCTACCGGGAATTTTTAAAATTAAATCCACGGGGACTCAATTGAGGTATATACAACGGGGACTCAATCGTGCGGACTCAATCGTGGGGACTCAATTGTGCCGGGACTCAATCGTGGGGACTCAATCGTGCGGACTCAATCGTGGGGACTCAATCGTGCGGACTCAGTTGAACTGCTCCGCCATATTTTATTAGTTTTATTCTGATGTTTCTGGTGAATCTTCGACATTTATATCTATTCAATTTGTGCTCCTACACTCAATCGCTCGATATCATTCCAATAAAAATTATGCTGATTTAGATTATCTTCAAGAACAAGTAATTTGTATTAATTTTTATAGAGATTACCGGCACGAAGTAGCTTTTTGTGTTTAAACTGTTAGACAAATTTGAGTTAGGCACATTAACAAGTTTTTATCTATCCAAGCTGTTTTGACCATCTACCCAATATATTTTTTCTGATACATAATATGAATGTACTGGAACTATTTAACTTGAACTATTCTTAAAATCTAGTGTAAAAAAGTTTTTGAATTGAAAATTTTCGATAGAATTCAAAATTCAAATTTGTTTATGCTCAATATTATTAAACTTTTAAAACTATAATTATAAACTGAAAAAAAGCTTTAACTAACCGGAAATATTGCGTTTCTTTCTCGTTTATTTTTGGAAGCTAAACATGATTTAGCTAATCTGATAAAATCGCTTATTTGCTATTTATGAAGCAATTTTGTAAAATGATTATGAGTATCAACCAGAGCTGCATCGAACTTTCGATTTTAGACGTTTTTTCTCCCGATTTTCGAATTTTTTCAGAAAATTTCGATTTTCGAAGATTTTTTCTTTCGACGCAGCCTTGGTATCAACTTCATAAAAACAATCAAAATTAATAAAAATAATTTTTTTAAGCTTGAATGTTGTGGGAGCACAACTTTCCATGATTGGCAATTTAGTGAACAATTTAAATGTAACGCTTCAAATCCATATCCTGAACGGTTTTAAAAAATATTTTTTTTAATGAATTTAATTTTCAAGTTGTGGAGTGCCATATTCTTGTTGTAGAAAATCTGTGGTTTCCAGAGCGGGTGCCGGTGAAGTTAACCCTCTCACACCTGCAATTCGCTCAATTCAGTGTTGGCAAAATGCTCAGAAGAAGAGAGAACAGGAATTAGATTCTGTTGGTTTTTTACTAACTATTTAACCTAGGGCTGGTGTGAATTTGGGTTCTGATCTTCAGAAATTCCTTAATCCATATGCCTTAGTTGTACCACGTAACGACGTTTATTATGGAGTGATACGGTTCATACATTAATGATTTCTGCACCACAAGTTTTTAACATGATATATCTATCGAAATGAGTTATGTAGAGAATAGACGCCTGAACCCATACCCGGGTTTTGTATTGAAGCCATTAGCAGTTGAAGGAAAATTCCAAAATTTCTTTGGAACCGTTTCCGGTTTAGGAACCGCTTTTTTAATTTTGGAGGTTCCAGTTTTGGAACCTTTCCGGTTCCGGTTCCAAATCAGGAACTGGAACCTTTCCATCACATGTCATTAGGCGAGAATAAGCATAGAATTATGTAAAGTTGGGGTTGATGAGAACGTCAGATTATTTTTTCTTAATCTCATTTACGCCTTCAATTATTTGTTTTTATTCATTTAATCCTAATTTTTACAATTATTTTAAAGGATATTTATGTTCTTGGATGTCTTCAGCCATTACGCACATTATTTGATTCACATGCTTTACATATTGGAATGATTGTACTTTCTATTATATTCCCAGTGGTTTGTTTTGAATTAATTTGATGATTGATTTATATTCATAACCTATCTATGCCGTCATAAAAATAGATAATTTTATCACGGGAGACTTACTTATATTAAATGAAGTATTTTGTATAAAATTTCCTGTAATAATTGATAGCTAAATAATCATTAGCTCGCAAAAATAATTGAGATAACATTGGCGCTCTATCTGCAAGAATTTCTTTTTTCTCTTTTTATTATAAAGTCTCAACAGCTAATTTATATTAAGAAAAAATTGGATCCGGATATTGTTTAATATAAATAATCTATTAAAACTTTCTAACTAAATAGAAAGCAATTTTTAAACAATCGGTCATTCCGTCAGAATTTTGTTCGATTTATTTTTGGATGCTAAACGTTATTTAGCTATTAATCATTACCTTTAAAATTTGTTAAATTATACCAACTTTCCAAAATTTAAGTGTGTAACTGTTTGCCTCTCTCAGTGCTTGGCACGGCAAATAGACTATCAACACTTTTTACTGCGGAGAGAGCAAAGGCGAATAGCTCGAAATGAGAGGAGAGAAAAGCGTTATTTGGATCAGAAAGGAGAAATTAAAATTGTAACTTTGATGTACAGGACAGCTGAGTAATTTACTAACTTTTTAAGGGAGAACAACACAAAAGACAAACAACAGAAAATGCTCAAAAACAAGGAGAAAAAGCCGAAGTTATTGTTCCACTTAATAAATGTTCCCCTCCACGTTCACCACCCAAAGTTAAACCACCTCCTACGCCAAAGTATATATTTAGAGGAAAATATAATATTGTGTAATTTTAAGAAATGATGAGGAAGCAGCCCAATTAGGTACTTCAATTAAAGCTGGCAAACTTGAGTGGAAGGTAAATAATTATATATTTGACGTGGGAGAAAAATTAGCAAATTTTATAAATGGAAAATTGTATAACTATGGGCGTCGGCGAGGGGATTGCCGAAACAACCCACCATAATTATGAGCTTTCCCTCTTACAGTGTGTAACAAAACTATGGCCCCCCTAAAATTTTTTAATTTCTTAAGGTTCTAATGAATGAAAATTTATTAAATTTTTACCAAATATTTAAAATGCAATTTTAAGCTAGAATTAAAAAAATTTTTCATTAAAAATTTTTACAAAAATTTTTTTTCGAACTTTTTATGAAAACTAAGTGTAACATAACTATAGCCTCCCTTGGAAAAATTTTATTTTTTATATTAGAAATGCTTGAAAAATTTTGCAAAAATTTCTGTGAGCATTTCTATCAATATTAAGTAGAAAAGCAAAAGGAACGAAGTCTGTAAATAATTTTGCCATCGAGATCCAAAATCTCAAAAATCAACGGGAAATAGGGGTACAGTACTTCAAAAAATCTTTTATCCCCCTTCAAGGTTGTATAAAATTTTTTTGTTAGGCCCATCTGAAAGCCCACAAAATTTGCTACAAAATACACTTGGTCCCATCCTTGAGAAAAATTATATAATTGAGGAGCTATCAGTTAAATTTAAAAATTAGAAATAATGACAATTTATGGGGTAATTTGAGAGAATTTATTTATCTGATCCTTTAACTGATAGCTCCTCAATGATATAATTTTTCTCAAGGATGGGACCAAGTGTATTTTGCAGCAAATTTTGTGGGCTTTCAGATGGGCCTAACAAAAAAATTTTATACAACCTTGAAGGGGATAAAAGATTTTTTGAATTTAAAATTGCATTTTAAATATTTGGTAAAAATTTAAAAAATTTTCATTCATTAGAACCTTAAGAAATTAAAAAATTTTAGGGGGGCCATAGTTTTGTTACACACTGTAGATAAACTTCAAAAATATATACTATTAGCCAACTTATTTATTAGCTTACAAAAATATAGGTTCATACTCTTTTTCCTGGGTTGAATTCTTTTAAAATTCAAAATACTTATAAAATAAAAAATATAAAATGAAATATTGTGCAATTTTTCTTTAAAATCTTTTTTCTATTAAATTGTTAAAAAATTTTAGATAGGAAAAACTGGACGAAAGGCAACAAAAGAATCTTCCAGAGCTTCCAGTTTCTCCCCTCTTCGGAATCTTTCAATTAAAAATAACAAAAAATGTGAAGGAAAGAGAAAGTCTTCAACCCTCGAATCTGTGCCAAACAATAAAATTAAAAAGCGGGTATTTGATGGCAAAAAAGAACAGCAACATCCAAGCCATAAAAATAATAATTTTGAAAAATTAAATAATAAAAATTGTATTAAAAATATTCAGCCAGAACCGTCTGCCCCTCCAATGTATTTTACTATGCAATTGCAACAACACCATTTTAATTAATTTTATTTTTGTAATTTTTTGTTTGAATAAACGAATTTTTTAAAATTATTTTATTGTAGTCCAGATATTTCAAAACTTAAATCAAGAACCCCAAGTCCTAAAGCTTACATAGTTTTGTGGGAACTCTACTGTGTAGTTTTCAATATTATAATTAAATCCCGGATTGCCATAATAAAATTTAAAAATTATTTTTTGTTTAATATTCTAAATTCACTTTTATGACATTTAATATATTATAATGAAATATGCCTTTTGGTTTCTGTTTGCTCTGGCCGGTTAATTTTTTGGAAGCCTAAACAAATTCTTAGGCTATTTTTCTTCTTCAGTTGTGATCTTTTAAAACTTAATATTGTTTAGATTAGATTTTTCCGAAAATGCAGAGTTGAATTCTTGGAGTATAGCAATATTTCCAATTTGATATTCCCTGTTCGGGCATTTTTCGATTTTGGCATTTAAGCCTAAAATTGGAACCTATTTGTTAATTTTTCGGACCTAAATGTCGGGCTCTAATGATAATTGATTAACCAAAGTGATTAATTAATGAAGAAAATTAAGGAATAACTCGAAATATTTCAACATGAATAATTTTTTATTTAATTTCATTTAAAGTAAAACATTAATTAACAAGCTTAGATGATGGGCATATAATGTGCTTAATTTTTTGGAAGTTAGATTTTCTAACTAAAAATGTAGGATGTTAAGGAGTATGCGCAGCTTGTATCTTTGAACCAATAAAAATTTTTTTCCTTTCCGTAGGCCGATTAGAGTATTTTTTATCGATATTAATCCCCGAAATTCTGCACTATAAATCATCATAAAACTATCAGAATTGTTGTTGTATATATGATATAAAAAGGTTTTTTGGGAAAGAAAGGCGTACATGGAAAGAAATGGCATTTATTTATTCATATATGTACGACAAATAGAATAAAAAATGTCAAAATATATTTAATCAAAAATTTAAGGATCGCTATTATTTCTTTTAAAAATAATTTTAGAATTTAAATTATTTATTCCTTCATTTTTCATTAAATTAATGTCAGCACCCACTTTAATTTTTGATACTAAATTTTAAATAAATTAATAAAAATATAAAACCAACCAATCTTTTGTCGAATAGGCTGAAAATAATTAAGTGAAAATTTATTCAAAATTTATTCACGTTATTTTAGCTAAGGTTCCGTGACTTTTGCGCCGAGAACATTTGCGCCGCGACTTATGCGCCGCGACATTTGCGCCGGGCGACTTTTGCGCCGGGCGACTATTGCGCCGCCACTATCATTAATAATTATGAAAAACTACAGCCAGACCTCACTATAGAAGATGTAGGATAGTGGAGATATTCGGATATCAAGATCTGGATCCGATATCCGACCTAAAATTTTCGGCTATCCGGCCTTTTTCAGATAACCTGGACCCGACAACCCTACAATATAGTTCACCAAATATCCTGATTTGAAAAACTCAAGTTATTTGAAGATGACCCCTCTAGGGGGTCGGTTTATTAGAGGGGGCTATTGTACTTCCCGAAATATTATACTTCCTGAAATTCCTTCAGCTCCTGGATATCATTTTTTAAGGAGTACACTATAATTAGGTCCGACTGTAGATATTAATTTTTTAAATTACGGCGGCGCAAATGTCGCGGCGCATAAGTCGCCCGGCGCATAAGGCGCGGCGCAAAAGTCGCGGCGCAAATGTTCTCGGCGCAAAAGTCGTGATACCTTAGCTAATATTGCCCTACTTGTTACTTATTATTTTTATATTAATATTTTAGTACACTTCTTATTATAGTATCTTCAATTCCGGTTGGTTTTTTACTGACTCTGGCTTTAATTAAAAACATTTATCTGATTTAGTTTGAATCAAACTGATATTAGTTTGATTCTTGTTAATTCAGATCATGGATGGCCGAAAGAAAATTTTTTGATTTTGTTTCAATTCAAAATAAAAGAAATTTATTTCGGCCATGCCTGATGCAGATGTGCAGGTAAAAAAGTGACCGTTATCCTAAGTATTTGACAAAATTTTGAAGTTAGTACAATATTTTTTAGTGTAAATGTAGGTTCAAAAATAAATTGAATATTTTACCTTAATTTGATTTATTCCATTTTTGGTATTTAAATCTTTAACATAACGCTTAAGTATTGGAATATATTTAAGAAATGCTCGGCGATATTCACAACTAAAAATTTAAAAAATTATTAAATTTTGATAATATTAAATAATAGATTATTTAATGTATTAATAGGTATGGTATTCTGTTAATATTTATGTTTGAATTTTAATTTTTTGTTGTTATTTTTTGGATGTTTGAATACACGATTCAAGCAACACTTCGAAAGTAACACCAATAGTGTTTCGCGTAACCCGAAGCGTAACTAAATAAATGATATATGGATCAACAGCAAAATGTTATAGCCGATCAAAATTGGCTGACGCTCAACTGACCCCAACCCCTAAACATACCTAAATTTAAATAAAATAACAGCATTTGCACAACAAGCAATTAAAGCAAAATGATTAGCCAGTTGATAAACTATATAAGTTACAGCTGTGTCACTTGGATCCCAAAAATTTGGAATTCCAATAATTTTGGTAAATAAATAGTAATTTGTATAAAATGTAAAGCCAAACAAAGAAACAAGCAAAATACTTAGTAATGATTTAAATAAACGTCTTGTTGACACATAATAAATTAAAAAATTAATTTGCTTATTTTTTTGTTAACGGTCCTAAGTGAAACAAGGAGGATTATGAGTCAAAAAATGAACGAAAAAAAACCCAAAAGAAATTCCGGAGCTTATCGATTAGTCTTGCCGTTGCGGCTTAAGTTAACCGAAAAATTTGTTAAACCTGACAACCATAATCAAGAGAATGTTGTCCTTTTTTGATTTTCAGCTTCTAAACTATAAAAAAAAGTCCAGGAAAAAATTTTTCCTATATTTTTCCTATAAAATTTTAAGTCTACATACTCATACTACTTTTAATTTATCAAAAAAATAAATTTATTACAATTATTCTTCATTCCATGCCGAAATAAATACCAAATTATAACATAAATAGCTGCACTGAAAATTTCAAAAAATAGACTGATACTCATAAAATAAATAGAATTATTGTGAAGAGTTGAAGTTATTCCATTACATTTTACTTTGAAACTGAAAAAATTTTTTGATACAAATTTAGGGGTTTACTGTAGACTGAGGAGTAGAGATCGGAGAAATCTAACCGAGATCTCTAAGGAATTTATTTAAAGATATTTGTGATACGAAATCAGGACTTCATGCTCGTATTTGGTAAATAAATAAAAATAGAAATTTTTTGTAAGGTCAAGGACATATAGTAAGTTCAAATTATAAAAATTTTTTAAATTCAGATTAAAAAAAAAGAAACCACCTTCAATCCTAGACGCTACAATGACAAATGAAAAAATTTTAAATTAAATTTGTTTAGTTCTTTCTCGAACAATATTTACAAAATAA